TCATCGCCTTGTTTTCTTCCGCAAACCGCTCTTCCAACTGGGCTCCCCTCCCCCCACCACCATTTGCGCCGCCACACAAGGACCGACAGAGAACCGTTCAGCGTCGTCTGGTATATAATCTCGTCCTTCCATGCGTCTATCGTGTGCGCCCTCTTTTTCAAAGGAATGAGGGCACGCTTTCCTGGTGACTTGGAAGCGATCTCCCACAACCACCAAGTCGGTGTGCCCCAAGCTTGTCTCAAGTTGGGAGAAATGCACCGGTCGAGGAACAGAGCCAGTCGATAGCATCTTTTCGAAATGGGGTTGTTTGAGCGGCGTTCGTCCAAGGCTGGGTTGGAGGACATCGAGCGATCAGATGCTCATCCTCGCCCCGACTCTAGCACCCCTCCGCCTCCGCCTCCTGTTCCCGATGCCTCCTGTAGAACCGGCGAAGCATCCGAGTCGAGCATGTCCTTTGCAAATCGGATGCTGGCATCCAAAAATCCATCCAAACTGTCCGCTCTGAAAAACGACTCGCATCCATCTCATCACTCTTTTCCTTTTATCCCCCATTCATCCAGTAACTCGAGGGCTTCCTCGACCAAAACCTCCTCGAGTTCTCTGCAGGCCTTGAACGAGGACTCGGTTACCGATGGCTTGAGCAGATTTGATCACCAATCCTCGTCCTCGCCTTTCGCGCGACGAAAGTCTCAGCAGCTGGAGCACAATCAACGCCCTCTTACGTTGACCACCCAGTCCATCAATACTTCGGCCGACTTGCCCGTATATCCCGATCAGTCCTACGCCGTCCTACAATCTCAAGTCTACCCGCCTCCGTATAAACCGTTTCTACGAGGTCGAAGTTCATATCCGTCACACGTAGAATACTCTCGCCATCACGATCATTCCCTGTCCTTCGGTGCTCGAACAGTGGATAATACGCCCATCTCAAGCCCAGGACTATTTGCAGCTCGAAGTGCCCGCACTTCTCCTTCAGTTGGCTCTGACGACGAAGCATTCACCTTCAGTCCTTCTCTACACCCGACACACCTTCAGCCCCCAAAAGAGTGAGTAGTTTTAATAACTTGCGTACGGCCTTGCGGTTTTCGTACTAACTTTTTCATGTTCAGAACCCATACCGCCGAAGTTGAGCGCGATCACCAGACCGGAAATAAGCTTATCAACGACTACGAGGTGCTTGAAGAGATTGGACGTGGAGAACATGGCAAGGTGAAGCTTGGCCGCCATTTGCCCACCAAGCAACCTGTTGCTATCAAGATTGTCCAGCGCTACTCTAAACGCCGCCGCCTGGGAAAACTGGGAAACCCTGAAGATAAGGTCAAAAAAGAGGTGGCCATTCTGAAGAAAGCTCGTCATCCGAATGTGGTCAGTTTGCTAGAAGTGATTGACGACCCAAACCGCCAAAAGGTTTACATTGTTTTGGAGTACGTCGAACATGGAGAGATCAAGTGGCGCAAAAAGGGTGTCAAAGAGATTGTCTACGTTGATAAACTCCGCCTAGAACGAGAGAAGAGTGGCTTTCCAGACTCGGCCTTTTTCGAGGAGGAAGGTCAACAGATGGTCCGCACTCTCCAGGCCCAACGGCGTGTCAAGGAAACACACCGTGAAAGACGTCGCGCGCAAGCTCAAAACGGTAACCAACAACATATTCCCGCCTGGAGTTTGGAACACGGCGGGGAATCCGACGATGAACTTGGTCCAGAAGTATCATTGGCACGCTCTCTCAGTCGCAACCTAGCCTTCCACGAGGCCAATGACAATCACGTTTCTCCGAGTCAGTCCTATGCTAGTTCCACCTCTGAATTTGATCGTCACATGCGCGATGCCAATCTGGCTGCCATTGAAGGAAGCATGTATGGAGCATATGCCTCGTCGGACCACTACTACTCAGTTGAACGCCGGTACAGCACAGCGTCGAGCTTGCTCGGTTATACTTCGTCAGAGGCAGACTTTTTCAACGACGATGACGATATGTCATACGTACCCTGCCTCACCATCGAGGAAGCTCGCAACGCTTTTCGTGATGCAGTCTTGGGTTTGGAGTATTTGCATTATCAGGGTATTATACATCGTGACATCAAACCCGCAAACCTACTAGTCACCTCCAAAGGACAAGTCAAAATCTCTGATTTCGGTGTGTCCTACCTCGGGCGACCAATTCGGGATGAAGACGAAGAACAGGTGACCGAGACCGATGCGGCTGAATTGGACGATGCCCGTGGTGAATTGTCTAAGACTGTCGGTACGCCTGCCTTTTACGCCCCAGAGTTATGCTACAGTGGCGACGACTATGTCGACATCAATGGAAAAGGACCTAAAATTACCGGTGCCATCGACATTTGGTCCCTCGGGGTTACACTTTACGGGATGATTTTTGGTCGATTACCGTTTGTCTCGGATGACGAATTCAATCTCTTTCAATCAATCGGGAAAAACGAGTTATTTATTCCTAGCAAGCGTCTCAAGCCCGTGGAAGTCGACGTGACCAGGACCAGTCAGGATCAGCCTCCGGCGGTAATGAACAGCAACAAGCGCCTGGACGATGAGTTTGTGTATGAGGACATTGATGAAAAGCTGGTGGATCTTTTACGGCGTCTTCTGAACAAGGATCCTCAAAAACGGATCACGATCAAGGAAATAAAGACCCACGATTGGGTCCTTGAAGACCTAAAAGAAGATCCAATTGACTGGGTCCAAAAGACTGACCCGCAGAGCAGGGGCAATCGAATTGAAGTCTCCAACGAAGAAGTCACGAGCGCTGTCAGCAAAGTGCCTTTTGTCGATCGCGTCCGTTCACAAATGGCCAAGTGGTCAGGGTACATCGTGGGTTCTCGCCGTGGCCACCCTAAGAGGACTGCAAGCGCTGCAGGAACCAGCACAGAATCGCTCATGTCTTCAAGAGATCGGATCGGTGGCCGTCGAGCCAGTCTACGAGGAGATGAAGACCACCACAGATCCCTACGGACCGCAAGAGAATCCGATCATCCGCTATCTCAGAGTGTCATTGCCAGTCCAGATGATACACCGGAACATACTTCCTATTTCCAGGACAAGCAGAATACGCCTTCTACGTCGGTACTCGCAGCGCAACAAACCACGCCTCGACCCCATCTTCCTGGGCGGTTCCCATCATCAATGTCAAGTGCTGCTTCGACAAAGACCGTGAGACCGGCTTCACCAGAGCGAAAGTTCCCCACGCTTGCTGAGACCTCGCAAGAAATTGCTCCTTCTAATTCACCTCATGTTAGCGGTCTCTTCTCAGGGGCTGTTAACCGACTCTCAAAGGGAAGTAGCGATGAAGAACAGCAGCCGTTGGAACGATGTCGATCAAGCGATCGAACCGATAGCGATGCTCATTCGGAACCCAGTCTGGCATGGAATGCAACCTCGGCCACGGGCCATGTTGTGGCTCCTAATCGCTGGAGAGATGATGGTCGGCCTCGTAGCCAAGATGAAAACGCCACCGGGTTTTCTCCTTCGTCGGGACACCGTCGCAACCGATCAGAACAGATGGGGCTTAAAACCGACACTGAATATTTCCACCTCGCCAAGGAAGCCCTGTTGCGTCAAAGAGACGAATACTCCTCCCACTCGCATGAGAACAAGGACGGGGGCTCCAGCCAGGTCAGCCCAAGCAATTCCACTCATAACGTTACGAGTGGAGGTATCATGACTTCGCCGCCGTCTGCGGCAACAATATCCACTACCTCGATGGATGAATGTGCGAGTGAAACGTCTCGCAGTGCTTCGCATCCCAGCATACCTTCTGTCGTTTCGGGGGCTTCGTCTCTTTCCGCGGATGGGATTCATCTCCATATGAAGGAGCGAGAAAAGGAGTTAGACGCAGCTGCGTATGTGTCTCCCATCCTGAGGACCGGTGATACGATTACTGCCCGGAATTTCCGACAACATCAGTCAACAGAAGATGAAGAATATCGCTACGACTGCGATGACGAAGATGGTGATTCCGAAGACGAAGGCATCATATTTGGGAAAAAGAAAGCAAAGGCTTGATGTTGCGATATGCAGCTTGGGCTTTTCTCTGCGCCACGCGTCTATATATACATTTTTATATATGGACTTTACTCTCAGTTGGCCTTGTGGACTTTAATGGGTTTGACGAGTTTATTTTCCTATTCAGACGACGACCGGGAGTACAAATTCCATTTTCAACGATGTTAAGACGATTTATTTTCGCATTCTGGACTCTGTGTTCCAATTGGAGCAAAAGTCTCCATGTCTCCTCTCTGTGTGCCAAAATGTACAGTACGATAGTGACGTGTTCCATCGAGCCTGTGATGGGCATGTTTCAATGAGGTTGGCACAATCTCGTTGTATGTTATTCTCTTGTTTTCTTGGGTTTGGGGGCAAAACTTGTGGCTTGATGGGTGTGTTCTTCGCATTGATGGCGTTTTCTTCTTTTTTCTCCTTTTTATTTTCTTCTCTTTTAATTGTTCTTGTACATATTGCGCGATGTGAATATATCGCATTTTCTTCGCCTGGGTTTGCCATGTGAACCAGGTTTTCATTTCAGCATTGACGAAGGGGGGAGGAAAAGAATGACGAGGAAGAGAGACATTTGAGAACTGTGCTTGTTATTTGCTCAGTTGTTGTAGAGTATTTTTACTGTCGTTGGAATATAGACTGCGTCATGGTTCTGCTATATAAGTCCTTGTGTACCTGAACTCGTATGTGCGTAATTGATTAATCACCATTTCAACCATAACGTAGAGTGAAATAATCTCATTTAATGATCCATGACCGGACAATTGCCTATTATACAATCTAATAAAGCGTAGGAAAAACAGGGGCTGGATTTAAAGGGTCTTTCTTTCTTTGTTCATTCATTAGTCGTATGAGCCTTATTCCTGTTGATCTATATTGATATTAAAATTTCCGTATGGATCTATGAGTATGAGATGACAAATAAGCATTCCCAGGTGCAGGAAGGATTTGCATTTCCCTATTAAGACAAGAAAAGACAAAATTGGCGATCCTGCGGCCGCATAACTCAGTGGTAGAGTGCGTGATTCCAGCTTTGGAACTTCCACGAAGTCATCCGTTCGACTCGGGTTGTGGTCACTTTTTTGTTTCCCCACTGATTTTTTTTGGAGGGGCCCTATTTATTTATTTGGCAAAATTTTTTGATGCGTTAGTAGATAGAGACCATGATGGTTTCAAAGAATGTCCACCAAAACAGCATCGCAAACCAAACAAAATATTGGAGACAAGAGACCCACATGTACTAGAATGGAATCTGTAACAGATAAACAAACACCCTTAAAAGTGCGACTTGAATCGTGTGATAAATCATAAATCATCTCCCTCTTCTTCTTTTCTTCATTCAGCTGGTTTCTGTAAGAGGTATCTTGTAGGAATTTCCCGTGTCTTTTCCCGAAGATGGGGGACGGCGCAAGGATATAGATACATCTACGTGGAGAGTGTATGAATCGTTTGGGACGGACAAACCGAGAATTCGGCTGCCTAGGATGCGCGATGATACAGGAGTTAATTTAACAATTGTATATTTGAATAATTATACTACGTAGGTAGCAGTCTTCAGGGTCTGATTCTCTGAAAACCAAGCATTCTGCAATGACCTTTGTTTTGTCAAGTTGGAGATGGAAAAATAACTTACTTGGTGGGGCTTAGGCTTGCGTTGACTGTGTGGGGGAAAGGATACGACGATCACAGTCACAGCAAGATGGTGAAACACTAGAGAAAAAGGCAAGTGCTTCGTATCAGAAAAGAGGATCTTATGCAAGGGTTTTGATTGGGGCAGCAATGTAGAAGATGGCAGTGCAAACGCGAACTGCTTTTTTGCCGGCCTGTGGCTGAGCAAGCGTTCTTACCCAGAAAAGCGGACCAGAATATATACGTCGTGCATACTGGTTACTGTATACTAATTATAATTAATTAAGCTGGCTAAATTTAGACTACGTAGTACTATTACAAATAGTTGGACCATCCAAGGGGAAAAAAAAAAAAGTAGAGAAATCTGGTTTAAGCTGAAAGTTACATGTAGATGGATAGTACATCGCAGTCAGTCTCGGCCTTAGGCAGCAGTATTAATCATTATAGCTACGATCAAGAGATAGACGTTGATTAATCGGCTAATACAAGGGTTTACAGGTGTGTGGAATGATGTCAGTTACTATTATTGGTACTCCATATTTCTTGATCAATATTCAACATAGTCCGTAACCACAGCCCAAACCCCCCCTACGTGCCTGTAAATTATACCCAGATTGTACCTCTAGCTCTAGCTACAAGCCAACGGTTCTTTTTGTACTGTAGTACAAAATTAGCTGCATCTGAACATCACGCCAAAGTAAATTACCATTAATTGTTAATATTCGAGGTTGCATGCCCAAGACCGCGGATGGATACCTGATCTGGCCCTGTTGGAGAACCGGTCCAATGACAACAAGTTGTAATCTTGCAGAAGCCGTAGAATTTGCGCAGGTCCCCTGCTGAGCCTCGCTGGCTTTAGGGGATCGTCCTCTTATGATGTGTGACACTGTTTGAGATGCCTTCTAGCGTCCACTAGCCCGCCAAGGTTATTCTTTCTTATCCTGAGATGCATAGCTTGGCGATAGGTTAGTTAGTTAGCTAGCGGTGACAAGTAGCTAGCTCCCCAAACCCTGTCCCATCTGGGTGGTGATTATTGGGCTGTTCAGCTGGTTGCCGATGAGGTCTGGACATGGAGCCATGACCATGTCCGATGATGATGATGATGATTATGCTCTCTCTGTGTAGTTGCGACCGAGGGAAATAATAATAGTAATAGTTACGCCCACTCGAGCTGACCTGCACTTATAACAACCGGCGTTCCCTGCTGCTGCTGCTGTACTTCCCGACTCTGATGTGGCCGCGGGAGAGTGTCGAGTCGAGAGTCAGATCAAGCCTTCCCCGCCGACGACATCACAACCGCCAAGGCCGCACTTCACTTTTCCCTGCCAACTTCCTCCATCTCATCTGCCAAACAAACTCCCATCTCTCCGCGCGCTCTTTTGCCCAACTCATCGCTGCAACGGTGCAGCGACAGTGCGGCTGATAGGACCAGGCCGCAAACCGCCCAGTTAGTTAGCCTACGTCGTTAGTCTAGGCTGACCGCAAGGCGCACTTGGTCTACTCTCTCCCCTCGCCCCCTCTCTGATTCTGTGTGTCTCTCTTTTCTCCAGACCGCTGCCTCTCCGGGTTCCTGGCGCCCGGCCGTTATTATTATTATCTATTATTATTGTTTATTATTCGTGCTTCGCCCCCTTCCCCCAACGGCAATCCCGTCCTTTGCTTCAAGGCCCGACTACCACACGTGCTTGGCCTCGCCCCTCTATCGTCCGCTGTCGGGCCCGAGCGCGCTCCCATACTACTGCGTCTCTCGCGTTCTACTTTGGCTGGCATCATCCCAAGGCACCTTTGTAGCCTTGCCCCCGCCTCTCTCGAAGCTCCTTGCTTCGCTTCTGATAATTCGCCATGGATGCCCATGGCCAATTTCCAAATCCGAATCGCGGTCGGTCTCCGTCTGCGGGCGTCAAGAGTCGCACTGTCAGCCCCTCACCACACGCACCTTACCAAGACGTCGCTGGCATTTCTCCGACCACGGGCTTGTCGCTCGACCCTGCGACCATGGCCTCCACCGCTGGCCCTTTTCCGGACGTTTCATACACATCCGCAATGCCAGATTCAACCGGCGGCGCCGATACCTACGCCGTAACCCAGTCCTATCTGACCGCACAACAACAACACCCTTCCCCCCACTCGGACAATGCCTTTGCGCAAACCCAACAGTATTCGCCATCCTTTGCTGCCAGTTTCAGCAACCAGCTCGAACAATCGTCGGGCCATCAGGATGAGAATTTTTCGAACTTGTTGCACTCGAATCCGACCGATTTTGACTTTACACAGTACCCAACAGACGCTACCGGGGTGGCCACCAACTACGACCCTTCCCTGCTGCAGTCGCAACAGTCTCAACAAGGAAACCAATTGATGAATACCGGCGATATCACGGGCCAGATGGGCTCTCCTCACTTGCTGGCTCCTGAACACCACTCTTCGCCCGGCCATAGCCACACCTCTCCTCCCTCGTTTTATTCACCACAGCATTCTCGGCATGCTTCATTGGATCCAGTCAGTGCGGCCTTTATGACGAATCAACCCCACACCGATTGGCAAGGAATGCTGGGAAACCCGGCTTTTCAAGGCCATCGTCGTGCTCCGTCCGAGCATTCAGATGTCTCTTCGGTCTCTCACCATTCTCCTTATACCGGCCAGCAGGAATCTTTTGAGACCGCTGACGGCACGTCTCCTTCACTCGTGGCTCAGAATGACCCGGTTCTATATGAAAATGCTCTAGGAATTGAAGCGTTTACACTCGGAGAGCAGCAACAGCAACAGCAGCAACAACAACAAGGGTTGAGCCCCGGCCACAGTCCCTATGTTTCACCACAGCTTTCTTCACAGGATATTGGGAATGATGGATTGTTCCTTGCCAGCCAGCAAAACACTACTCAGTTTCCCGCCATGCCCAATGACATCTACCAAGGTTCCAATGAAAGTGTCATGCAGGCGCCAGACTTGCACGTTACGGATTCCCAGCTGAGCAACATGGCGCCGCCACCAGCTATCAATGTGGAATTTGCTCCTCCATCTAGAATGCCCAGTTTTGGACCCGGAAACGAAACTGATTTTGATGGACTCTCACCGCCATCTCGTAAGTTTCTTTTTACCATGTTATTATGATAGCCGTTGCTGACCTATATAAACAAGGCTCTCGTGGGAGAAGTAAGTCGGATCCTTTCGGACGCCCTCCTGCAGTCAGTCGTCCACACTCTTCATCTGTTTCGTCCACTAGCAGTATGGACCCGACTGTAGGCTCAGCTCCACGCTCCCTATCACCGTTTGACTCTGTTGGTGGCGGGTCGCGTAGTAACCCTACGTCACGGGATGCATCACCATCATCCAAAGGTAATGGTCGCAGACTATCGACTTCGTCTATTGAAAGCCGCAATTATATCCTTGATCTGGCCGATCCTCAGCGATCCGGAGCGTCACCGAACGAGTCAAAGCGGACACAGAAGCACCCAGCCACGTTTCAGTGTACTCTCTGTCCTAAACGCTTTACTCGTGCGTACAACTTGCGTTCCCATCTCCGAACCCACACGGATGAGCGACCATTCGTTTGTACGGTGTGTGGGAAAGCCTTTGCGCGACAACACGACCGGAAGAGACACGAAGGTCTACATTCTGGCGAAAAGAAATTCGTCTGCCGTGGTGAACTGTCCCGGGGCGGCCAATGGGGCTGCGGGCGGCGCTTTGCCCGTGCAGATGCCTTGGGCCGCCATTTCCGGTCAGAGGCTGGTCGAATTTGTATCAAACCGCTACTAGACGAAGAAGCAGACGAGAGGAATAGAAACATGATGGAGCAGCACCAGCACCAGCAAACCGGGCACCTACAGGCAGTCCAGCAGCCCATGATAATCCCCGGGTTGGACAACCAGCCCGGTGGCGGCTTCACACTTCCTGCAGCATTGCTCGCTCAATACCCGGCTTTGCAGACCTTGCAATGGGATCAAATTGCAACAACGGCAGAGGATCCTAACGATATAAGTGGCCGAAGCAGTTTTGACGCCAGTTCAGGCGGAGAATTCGGATTCGACGACGATGATCTCGGCGGTAATTACAATGCTGCAGGTCCCATGTACGGTATCAATAATCCTGGAGCTCAGAGTTTTGGCATGAACCCAGCAAATCCCAATTTTACGGGCCAGGAATGGAATCAATAATCTACGTATTTGGTAGTATATTTCTTTTTCTTTCTTTTTTTGCCTCTAAATGCTCCTTTTTTTGGGAATTTTATAGAACGGAATGGCGTGCCTGGGTACGGGTTGGGAAAATGAGATTGAACACTTGCAAGTTCAACAGGATCTGTTTTTTCGTTTTTGTTTACACGGATTTGAAAGGGTATTCATATATGTGTGAGTAAGGACTTTATGCTTCCTACTCACTCACGGTTTGCATGACCTGTGATGACACTGCCTTGTCTTTTTTACTTCTTTTTTAACCTGATGTTATATTTT